GTGAAGATTATGAGGAAAGATTGTGAGTTGTGGAATCCTTGTCTTCTCTGAACTTGGTTTGCTTGCAGGTGGTTTTGTTACCAGACTAGATAACATTAAACAAACTTTCAGCTTTGCAGAAATAAAAGTGAAAATGCCAGAAGCTGCAAGAGAAGAAACAAGAAGAACTGGAACAAGGTCTGAAAAAAGGATCTATTCCTTCAAAGTATTTGCTACTTCTGGAGAAGAACAGGCAGCAAAGCTTACTTAGAGAAGAGACTATAACTATCTAAGAATTTTCAACAACAGATTGATGAGCTTCAGCCCAAGCAACCCATTTCAAGAAAAGATCCCACCTCATTTGACCGACACTTAAGAAAGTTTAGAGGGAGGGCTTTCTGTTGAAAAGGGGATAAATAAATAAATAGAATGCTATCTACCTATGTGAAGGACTGATGTTGGCCTTTCCAAACTTAATACTTCTGAAATCCCCTTAATTATGTCCTTTCTATGCAAACTTGTCGATTACAATCTTGTATACGGGTGGTCCACCACTTATGACTACAATTGAGCCCCAAAATTCTGCTGCTAAGAAGACATTTATTGAGTGAGTTTTGCCCCATTTTACGACCTTTCTTGTCATAGTTAAGTGAATCACTGCAATTGTTAGGTTAGTAACAAGATTGTTAAGTGAGTCTGGCTACCCAATTAACTTTGCTTATCAGAAGGTCGCAAAAGAAGATCACATGACCCTGGGAGACTGCAACTGTAATAAATACGAGTTAGTTGTCAAGCGTCTGAATTTTGGTCACATGACCATGGGGATGCTTCGATGGTCGTTAAGTGTGAAAAATGGTCATACCGTGTTTCCCCAAAAGGCTTACCTTAAAAATGAGCCCTAGCTTGATTTTTGGGGGTGGGCCTAATATAAGCCCTACCCCAAAAATAAGCCCTAGTTTTGGGGCGAGACACACTTAAAAATCAAGCTAGGGCGGGATTAGGTGTGTGGATCTGCCCCACGCACCCCGCACCCACTTACATCGCAGCCAGGCCTCTCCTTGCCGCCCCACTTCTTCTGCGGAGTCTTCTGCAGCCAGGCCCGCATTTCTTAAGTCACAGGCCTTTCCAGAAGGCCACTGCAGCCAAGAACAGAGCTATGGATTCAACCCATAGCTTCATTCATTCTGAAGCTGCATTCCGGCCTGCATTTTGCAGTCAGGCCTTTCCGGATGGCCTATGCAGCCAAGTACTGAGCTAAAGGCCTGACTGCAAAATGCAGGCAGAAATGCAGCTGCAGAATGAAGCTGCTTCTTCGGCCGCAGAGGAAGTGGACCAGGTGGGCGAGGCTGTGGGTGCCGGAGGTGAGCATAAAAGACATCCCCTCAAAATAAGATCTGGTGCCTCTTTTGGTGGCAAAAAAAAAAAGATCTTATTTTTGGGAAACACGGGTAAGTTATTTTTTTCAGCATAGTTGTAATTTTGAATGGTCACTAAACAAACTGTTGTAAGTTAAGGACTACCTGAATTTGTGGTTGATATGTCCCAGTATTCCAACTCTGCCAACTATCCAAGGGCTCAGTTGACTCATTCCAAACAATAAGGTATTTGCTAAACCATATAACTAATATTGTATGGTCCTGAAGCTTCCAAACATATCCTAAACCAGTAATGAATTCTCAACCTAATCATCTCAGTGTTATGAGGAAAAGCTACCATAAGAAAGGGAGAATACAAATTAAATAGATACTTCAATTTAAAGAAGTAAATTCAATTGGTTTCAGTGAGACTTGTTTTCAAATAACCAGAGAACATCTCAATTCAGTGCATCTTCTGTGTCACCGCCTTCTGGTTTTCCGCCCCTCATTACTAAAGTATGTAGAAATCACATTTTTTCTATATAGACTATGAACATGAATCACTTCCTGAATATATGGTTAACCACATTAGCCACACTCCTCCTCCTGCCTACCTCATACCAATTTTCACTTCCTCAATAGGGAATATAACAGAGGTTAATTCCAGGACATGTGACCGCCGGAGATCTGCCAGATGCTCGTGATGGCTTCTCAAGTCATAGTTCTTCTTCTCTACTAGCTCTCCAAGCTTGCGGTTGTGCCTCTGGATTTTCTCCTTTTTCTCCTGATGGCGCTGAGCCCTTCGGTAAAGTTTCTGGTTCTCATCCTTGATCCTAAGAAGCCACTCTGAATCTAGAACAACAAAGGCAAAAGTAAATCTTTGGAAGACTCCCAAAATGATGCAGCTGATTATTCAATGGATAATGTATGAGTAAATTATATTACTTAGATATGCAAAATTATACATTGTATCATTAGTAAAAATATGTAATGACTGTGAAATAAAGCAGTGTTTGGGATCTCAAAGCAGGATTAAATCTGAAATCTACAGCATTTTAGGATGCCAACGTTACTTTGTCCCACCTAATTTATCACATTAAAAAAAACTTTTTAAAGAAAAACAGAAATTGACATGCTGCAAGACTAAACAACCATTTCCAGCATTATCTTGATCTTGAGTAAAACTTCTAGGCCCAACAGAGCCTCCTAGAAAAGCAAAACAAAGCCAGCTGCAGCCTAATATTTCATTTGCAGGTCTACTCACATTTCTCCCCCTAATCAAAAGAAAATTTGGCAGAAGTAATAGGAAGTTATTAAGATTTCCGAGCACATTCATAAATCTAATCTGAGTTATTAAAATAATCCTCTGATGGAGTTATCCCAACAGTTTAGCTGCTGATCTGGAGGGAGATTGATGTTCAGCCTGTTTTGGTCTGAGCTGCACTCTTATTGCAATAGCAATCCACTAGTTATCTTTAGTTGTCATTGCATTCCCAAGACGTGACTATGATAAGGATCACCTTTACACAATTTCCGCCATAGCAACAGCTACAAGAGCCAAGGTGGCGCAGTGGTTAAAATGTAGTATTGCAGCTACTTCTGCTGATTGCTGGCTGCTGGCTGCCAGCAGTTTGGCAGTTTGAGTCTCACCGGCTCAAGGTTGACTCAGCCTTCCATCCTTCCGAGGTTGGTAAAATGAGGACCCAGATTGTTGGGGGCCATATGCTGACTCTGTAAACCGCTTAGAGAGGGTTATAAAGCACTGTGAAGCGGTATATAAGTCTATGTGCTATTGCTATTGGTAACCCTTCTTCAGTAGGTTGGACAGGGTTGGTTATCTATATCTTGGTTACATCCCAAGATGCTGACCTTTAAAGCCTTAAGCACCACAGAGCTTAATTATTTGCCACATAAATCAGTAGAAGAGGAAGTTCTGAAGATATCTCACTGTGTTTCTCACAAGCTATGGAAGGTCCTCTCTAGGGAGACGCATTAAGCCATAAAGCACCAGTATTTTAAAAACACAGTAAGGAGGCATCTTTCTTCATTAACTGATTTTATTGATTTATTTTATTGATTTTAATGCTACAGTTTAATCTGGTATTTTTGTTTTAAATGTGTGCTGCTCTCAAGTCTTATATAAGTAGAAAAGCAAGCAATAAATTTAATAAATGAACAAATTACAATTAAAACAATAAAAGAGATTATATATCCCACCACCTAATAGTATTCTTCAACACCCAACAGAAAAAAATACTAGACTGAGAATGCATTTTCCATGGAATTCTTGCTTTTTTAGTTTTAAGATTTCACTCAAAATACAGATAATTTCTAAAATGTTGCCTACATTTTAATATGTTATTATTGTGAAAGAACATATATGTTATTTTCACATAAAAACAAGAAACATTTTGTATATGCGCTACTGTCAAATAATTCTCTTTGGACTAGAACACTGGTTTTCAAATTATCTACCTGCTCTGATCCTGTTACGTATTGAAAATGCTGCATGTTGCCCAAAGAACCTCTACTAGTATCAAAGAATTCTGGAAGCTCACTTGAGGGTGTAGCCTAAATGCCAGGTAGGCCTATTTGGCTAATCAATTTTACATATTAAATATATTTAGTTCATACACCCAATACTACTTTATAGTAGTAATGGAGGGGTATTGATTTTTTTAATTGTTTGTAAGCTGCCCAGAGTCACTGAGAGTGAATGGGTGGCCATATAAATCTTTTAAATAAATACATAAAATAAATAAACAGCACAGGACTGCAAAGGAAAATTTGAAATATGAAGGCAATAATCTTTTACACCCTTACTCCTTTTATCAAAGAAGCTTTGATAAGTTAATGAAACTGGTTAAATTAACTTTGTACAATTATCAGAGAAGATATGGGTACAGAATAGGAATTCCCTAACAGGAATCTGCCAAGACTTCTGCAACCATTATTTACTTTTTACTATTTCTTCATTTTCTTTGCATATTGTTTGCTTCAGCTGCTCAATTCTCATCTTGCAAGACATTATTTTCCATCTCTGAAAGAAAAAGAACATCTATTAGGATCTTTGCACTGGATAAAAATACATCTATAAAAGAACACATAATTAGGACATCTGTAAACAATTTTTGCATTCTTTAAAAATAATTTTAGTCAAAGTAAACAGATGGCTAATTCCATTTCCAAAATCCATTCAGTTTCATCAGCAACCCAGAAGTTTGCTGAGGCCACTGTAAAGGGAACATTAAGCAATTAGGATGCCCTAGATCAGTGGTGGCGAACCTATGGCACGGGCGCCAGAGGCGGCACTTGGAGCCCTCTCTATGGGCACACGTGCCATTGCCCCAGCCTCGCCTCCCCCCGTGACCCCCTCCTCTCTAGCAGCCCCCCTGAAGGAGAGTCGCTCCTGAGTGTGGCCCACGCGGAGCAGCGCAGCCAAGGACATGGCAGTCAGGCAGCGTAGACAAGACTCTGCCCTCACACCCCATCATGCACAGTTGATGCTGCAGGGTGCAGACAGAGGGCATGACTGCCATAGTGCTGCTGGGCTGCCTGGGAGATCTGCGGCGAGCCCTGGAGGCGGTGAGTGGCCCTGTGGGCAGGCAGGGTGGGGGATGGGGGGGCAGAGCGGGGGCGGGACCAGTTTTTGGGCACTCGGTCTCTAAAAGGTTCGCCATCACTGCCCTAGATTTACCTTTCAATTTAACATCACAATTAACCATCTATGCTTTGGTTGTGCTGCATTTTAGTTTTACCTTCAGTTCAGAAGAGAGTTACATAGCAGAATGATTGATGCTGCAACCAAACTGTCAAATGCAAGCTATAGAATTTTATTATCTGCTAGTTCTTTAGGCACCATCTCAGAAGTAGAAAGTTTCTCTAAGCCAAGCTGCAGTGATCCTCAAATAACAAAGGTAAAAGAAAAAGGCAAAGGAATCCCTGCAGATTTTATTCCATGAGTCGCTGCCGACTATAAGGGGTGGTGCCTAACTCCATTTCAAGGCCACTGAGCCAGCGCTGTCCAAAGACATTGCTGCGGTCATGTGGCCAGCATGATGTCACAGGCACTGTTACCTGCCCACCAAAGTGGTACCTATTTATCTACTTGCATTTGCATGCTTTCAAATTGTTAGGTTGGCAGGAGTTGGGGTGAGGACAGGAGCTCACCCCATCACAGGGCACCCAGGTCTTGAACCTGGGCTGCCGGCTTTCCAGCCAACAAGCCCAGCATCTGAATCACTGAGCCACTATGCCACCCCCTCAAATAACAATGGCAGTCAAATCCTTACAAAAACTTCTATATCAGACAGGGATATATCAGGGGAGCCAAGTGCCACTTTCAATAAGCACAAATCTTATATCAAACTTAAGAGCAACTGATATCCTTTTAAAAATATCCTACTATTGTACTATTTAATAACGGTGTACAAAATGATTTACTATTGAAAAAAATTGCTCCAACTTTATTGGAAATTTGCCAGCGCTGCTATAACCCTCCTGTAGGTGTTTTGAACTTGAAACCACCTTGTTTCAAGTGCAAGCTTGAAGTAGGGCAATTTTGAGCTATGACCACTTTTGGAATGCCTGGAGTAGCACTGGCTTTAGGTAAAGTCAGAACAATATTCTGATATTCCAAAAGAGATTTATTTGAATATAATCTATCTTAAGCACCCAACCTTTATAGATATAATAAGCATTGTTCATTTGGGCTGAAATTATTTACAAAATATGGGCACCATCACCTACATATAAGACAGACGCATGATAAGGAACAACTATCGGTCCCCTTCTCATGCAAGGAGCACCGTGAATAACAGCACTAAGGAAAACTAGTTGAAATATGAAGTGAAAGAATTCTGCAAGGCTCACCAGTTGATCAGCTATCTGTTTCCCCTCTATAGCTTTTAACAACCTATAAAAAATGGAGGCGTGGAAAAAAAATAGAACGTTAACTAGCAACCAGAAATATACTTCTATACTGATTTAAGATGAATTAAGTTGATTGTATATTAACATCAGCTTAAATAAATAAAGTAAAATAGAATGAATTGGGACTTACTGGGACTGGAATTCATGCTGTTTCTTTCTAAGGTGCTTTAATCTCTCTTTTTTTTCAGAAAACCTAGAAAAGAGTAACATTTAAATGTGTTTCTCAATAAATAAGAAAGAGAAATGAATAAGCTCTATATTAGAAAGGCCTTGCTTAGAATACTATCGCTTTATCATTTTACATACTATGTTGAACATGTCATTCACTTCATAAATAACAAGATAAATGAAACAACAAGATGAATGAAATGACACTTGGAAGATTTTCTGGATACGCAGATTATTATCCATTAGTAGCCAACTGGCTGATCAACAAACTAACTAGAAATTAAGCAAGAATAGTGAACTTGTTTAGCTTGGATCTCACCAAAATCAGGATAATCATGTTAGTCTTTAGAAAATTGGAATCAATAAAAGCTAGGCCAGAGCCTAAATAATTCAAAACTATGAAACATCACAGTCTGTACTTATGCAATAAAACAGGATTGTCCTATCTGAATTTGGGAAGGCAAATTTTATATAGAAATATTAAAACTTTCAGGCTGGTACCTATCTTCCAATGTATTATATTATATTGTATTAAAGTCCTCTGAATCCAAACAAATTTATTTATTCATATCGTACCTTTATTATTTTTATAAATAACTAAAGGTTAGATCAATCATTCTAGCTGAAGATAATAGAAGATACAGAGCAGCAAACTTAAGGAGATACACCAGACTGAAGAAAACTGTTTTACAATATATTCTTATGCAAGTATACTCAGAAGTAAATCTCACTGAGTCAATCCTATCAACTAGGTATAGAATTCAAACGTTAAGAAAACTCATACAACTGGAATAATAAAACATATATCAATAACACCATGGAAAAACAATATCATAAAAAGAAATAAACCATGAAACAACAATAAGTCGAGCTTAAGCACAAAAAGAATTAGAATGGAAGAAAAGCTATGCAATATATAAGCCGAAAGCTCTTTGCCAAAGAATCCTGCTCAGCCAGTGATAGGATGCTGTAAGCTCTGCTGGAGACCGACTTTCCTTGAACAAGGTATTACACATACTGGGTCCCACAAAAGAAAAGGCCTATGGGACTATTAATTGAAAAAGTGGGAGACTCATTGGATCTAAAAAGGGCAATGGTTAAAACACTATGATAAAGAACTTTCCACATAAATCTGAACTGTTACTAGTGTTAACTTATTGCTTTAAAGCTATAGAACAGGCTGACTACACACTAACTCAGTGTTTCTCAATCTTGACAACTTTAAGGCATGTGGACTTCAACTCCCAGAATTCCACAGCCAGCAATGCTGGCTGTGGAATTCTGGGAGTTGAAGTCCACATGCCTTAAAGTTGTCAAGGTTGAGAAACACTGCACTAACTCACTATATATTAATCGCTACAATTATTACTCCTACACAGGCAATTATTATTCCTAAACAGATGCATCTGTTCTTCCAAAAGTATATTTATATTTAAAATTGATAAAAGAAAGTATTTTCAATCTAGGAAGAAACTAAGCCTCACCTATCAGACGTCTGGGAAATCACAAAAGTTTGTCCTATGTACCATTAGTCAATAAGGTACACAGAAAATTTGCCTGATTCCAATACAGGTAATCCTTGACTTACGACAAGGAGGCTCTACTGCATTTAAGACGTTCTGTTATACTGATTCAGCATTTGTGTATGTTTTGAACAAACAGGCACAGTGGTTAGAATGCAGTTCAATTCTCACTGGCTCAAGGTTGACACAGCCTTCCATCCTTCCGGGGTTGGTAAAACGAGGACCCAGATTGCTGGAGGTCATATGCTGACTCTATAAACTGCTTAGAGAGGGCTGTAAAGCGCTATGAAGCGGTATATAAATCTAAGTGCTATTGCTAAACTTTGGGATGCAGTTCCGAAACTTTTTTTAAGAAGGGGTTGAATAACTTTTATTTAATTATGTGTAGACGGTACTTGATTATTGTATTAAATTAAAATATATTTAAAGCAATTGATTTTATCAGCACGAGTTATATATTAAGTCTAACTGATTTAGTGAAGTTGTACAGTATGAAGTTGTACAGTAAGTATTCCATCTTTAGTATTCTATGATTTGACACTATGAACAATCTCTCACTGACTGTTTAATGGCAGCCTTAGATGCAAAATATTTTTATTTAAAATTTGCATAATGCAAAAGTAATGATTTTCTTTGTACAGGTAAGACTATGCAATTCTTTTCCACAACTGAAATACACACAGACTGATACACATTTAAAAATGTGGTGGAACAGGTATTACACATTCTGCTAGACCTCTGATAACAAATGTCCAACTTGACAATCATAGAAACTATATAAACTATATAAAATATTATACAGATTTACTAGAATAAATACTTTATTTGACTAAGTGTGATTAGACACACAAGGATTATATTGTGTGTGTGTAAAATCAGCTGTATTATATCTGATTATATCTCACTACCTTTCCTCAATATAATTATTCTATTAATAGGATAGTTTATAGGCTGAAACTTTGGAATTATTGTGCTTGGCTACAGATAAGATTATTGCTTTACTCTAGTGAAAAGTTTCTACCACCACTGATTTTAAGCTGTTGATGGAAAATGTGTATTTATTTTTTAAAAATGCATAACATAAAACAATAATTATTTCTTTGTACAGTTAAGGCTAAGTTCAATGGGATAGAATTTACTCTTAATGAGTACAGGACTTCAAAATCCTTCTTGGAAGTAATCCTTTGGCTGTTTCCACCTGACATACTGACCCATTAGCCAGTTATAACTTAGCAAAGTTTGTTACACAAACACAGTCTATGTGAATGGTTTGTGACCCTAAGAAATTGGATAAATTGAATAAAACACGAGTAAATTAACCACAGGTGGTAATATAATGCAACCTAATCATTCAGCAAGGAAGAGGACAGATTTCTACATAAACACGTATAAGAAGATATTGTTCATCATTTCTAATTTCCAGCAGGTCCTGTAAGTTCCAGTTACAGCCAATAAAGATACAAAACATAAAAAGCCCACCTTTTTATTACCACGCTATCTCTGTGGAATGCTTTTTCAGTTGAAAAATATTGTTCTATTGCTGATAATATTTTTCAACAGTGAAGGAAGGCAATGCTCTTTCAAAAATCAAGGTGAAGGAGAATGTGTAATGACTTTTTGCCAATTTATGTTTTTGATGCTGGCTGTTTATCTTGTCATTTAATATTTGCATTTCATTACTGTGATTGACAGTCACGCTGGAAGCTTTATAGACAAAAAGATAAAGTGACAGTATTTGTAGTACCGTAAATAATTAAAATCCAACATGCATCCTATCAATCTAGCTGGTATGTAAGAGGGCAAAGATATTTAAAAATTCTCAATCAATAAGAGAAGGCCGTATACTAATCCATCTTTCAGAAAGGTCTGTTTATGTATATATTTTAAGGATCACCCAACTCCTAAACAACTCTGGGTGGCACACAAATAAAAAAATATATGTTTGTAAAATGCTTGAAAGCAGTCTTTCCACACTTAAAGAACTTGGAATAGGGAAACTATGGGCACAGTACTGAACCCACTGAACTGAAGAAAACTTACTTGTAAGTAAACCTGCACTGTACTGCTACATGGAGTTAGAAGTACTTAGTCCTCATTCAGTTGTCCAGAATGGTATAGAGTAAGATATAGAAAATAGTATAGGGCAGGGGTTGGACTAGAAGACCTCCAAGGTCCCTTCCAACTCTGTTATTCTGTAATCTGTAAATTGAGCAATGGTTTCTTGAATAATGGACACACCATCACCACTTTCAAGACAGGAGATACCGTGTTTCCCCAAAAGTAAACCCTACTCCAAAAGTAAGCCCCAGCTGATATAAGCCCTACCCAGAAAGTAACCCCTAGTGCGGGGCAGGGCGAGTCGGCCCTGGTCTTCTGTGCGACAGCCGGAGTGCCCCACCTCCGGTCTACCAGGGCCCTTCGCCAACAGCCACCGGTGGAACTGGCTACAGCTGGCACTGCCCTCTCCATCCCACCATCTGCTTGCCTGCGGCTGCAATAAACCAAACCCTCAGCAAGCCCCAGCCTCCTCCTGCCCTGCCAGCTGGCCCTACTGCTGCTGGGACATTTCTCGGCTGCGTCAGGTGCCATGTGGCAGCCAAGTGGCTGCCCATGCTGCTTCTGCTCGCAGGGCTCTTTGCCCTCCTGGCCACGCTTCTCTGGACTGCCCTGCTGAGCTGTTCCTGCCTGGCGCGGGGCGAGTCGGCCCAGATCCGGAGTGCCACCCCACTGCTGGCCTGCCAGGGCCCTTCACCAGCGGCCACCAGTGGAACTGCACCGGCCACGCCTCCACCTTTGGGTTGCTTTCGGCAGGTGTCTGGCAGGTGGAGGGAAGCAACTCCACCGCCCTTGCCACCTGTCTCGCTTCTTCACCTCATGGTGGCAGTGGTAGCAGCCGGCCAGGCGGCCGGCGGCAATCCAGTGGGAACAGCCAGTAGAGGCCAAAAGCACCCAGCTGATATGAGAGCTGCAGTGCCCGTCAGGGCCCGAAGAGCGCCAGGTTCAGCCCTTAGCCCGGCATCTGCAGCACCAAGTAGGCGTGCAGGCTGGCGCTCAAGCAGCCCAAGGCAGAGGCGAGGCTGGCGCGATTCCAATGGCGGCCGTTGGAGAAGGACCCTGGCAGGCCAGCGGCAGGATGGCACTCCGGATCTGGGCCGACTCGCCCCACACCAGGCTCGGTGTCCTTTCCACCATCGTACCGTACCTGGTCCGCCACCACACTCTCGCCGCCACGTTGCTTCTCCACCCCATGCACAGGCCCCATCCCACTCCCGCGCACTCGCGGCCTACTGGTACCTGTACCGGCAAAACGTAAGCCCTCCCTGAAAGTAAAACCAAGTGCTTACTTCAGAGCCCAAAAGAAAGTAAGACAGGGTCTTACTTTCGGGGAAATACAATAGCATATCTTCACTAAAGGATGCACTTACCACTGACTGCATTCAACCTCCTGTGACTTCTCCAGATGCTTTCACCAATAATGTAGGGTAGAGATCTCATCCATATAAAGTAATGCTAATGACACAGAGGACACTGTCCACTTCTTCGGGAACTCAGGCCAAATCAATCCCAGAAAACTCAAGCCTAAGCTTCTATTATCTCTGCAGAAATTGGCTAACCAGTGTGCAAGTGAATATGAGAGATTTTATTCTACAGATGCTTAGCAACACTCCAGCAGACCAGCTTCCAGGATGATTTCTCTAATAGTGACCAGGTCATTTTAAATGTTATTGGGCAGTTATCCAGAATTATAATAAAAGAAAAATGAACTTGTTTACTCCTTTTACTATCATGGTATAACCTCAGGTGCAAACTGTTACTTATATTTAGTGTCATTCTTTGTCTGATGCCACAATAGCTTTAAGTATGTTTTCTGTTACATTATATCCTGGAACCCTTCAATACACATGGAAGTTCCTCATGGATCAGTGACTACAAAGAGGTCACTCAGGAACAATCTTATTAAGTGGTGTCTCTGCCCTCTTATTCTAGAGGTCAACCAGGGCCTTGATTCAATTGCTCTCCAAGGCTTGTGAAACTCCACATGTGTTGTTTGGAAATCAACAGAATCTATTCTTGTGTCATGAGTGAAGCAAGACAAGGGAATGATGGAAATGTTTCCCTTCCTCATATCAAATTTCAGCTGTTCTAAGATACAAAACAACTCTAATGGCTATCTGCTTATCTAGGCTGGGTCTATGATCATCTGGGACAAGCTAATGATTGTCATGGTGTCTAAGAATTCACAAGTTGCTTCTCTTCCCAGCATAGGAAGGCATGTTAAAGTCCCCCATAACAAAATAGCAATGAAAATTCAACATCAATCATAAGATCAAGCTGTGCAACAAGGAAGTTGGAACTACAGTAGGACCCCAACCTTGTCCTCAAAGCAACCTCACAAATAGTGCCTTAAATCCAGGGTATCTATGAAAAGGTGTCTTTGGCGACCTGGAAAATCTCCCAGATGATAATCTTCACTCTATCTCCTCTGCCTTGGGGTCATGGTTGATGCAAAGTCTAAAAACCAGATGAGTAGATCTCTGAGAGAAACCCTGCCCCCTTACCCATTGAGGTCTCAGCAATACATAGCAAGCTTGCCCCTTCATCCTTAATGAAATCATGGAAGAGAACATATTTATTGCAGGCAGATCTGGCATTTAAGAACACCAATCACAACCCAATATAATCTGTAGTCCCATTATCTGGCTCCCAGGATGAGGTTCAGAGGCTACAAAAAGGCCTAAGATTTCCATTCTCTAACGGTAGCCCACCTCACACCCTCCGTAATAAATTGCTTGATATATACCATGGCAGCCAATTCCACAATTTAAGGAATGCAAGAAATCACATAACTTTGCTGCCAAGAGCAGACTATCAAAACACTGAAGATCTCAGCAGTGTTTACTGAACCCACTGACCATGATTTATTCAATTCAATCTCTTTATACAATTTATCTGTAATATATTTACTGAGACCAAGTACCCAAGTAGTCTCGCATATTGTGTGAATGTAATTTGTATGTGTTCACCTGGGGTTATATAGGGAGTCTTAAATATTGGTCTAAGTGTCCCCTTTCCTCAAAATAAATGAAACAAAGAGCAAAATACTAATACCTTAAACCCAAATGGAAACATATTTTAATTTTGGAGTGACTAAACTGGCAATCCAGCCAATCATCTTTAAGAACATTAAGCTGACCTCAAGAGATGGAAAAGTAGGACTCCTGGTTCCATCCTATTTGACCACTGATTGTATTGACTACTGAAAATTGGAACTGAACATCCAGCAAATATAGATGCTTTATCTAGTCCCATAACCCGCGCTCACAAGTCTTTCATTCATTTAGTCTCCAAGTCCTTCTCAGGACTTGAGAAATGAACACCTTGCAACTGGCTTTCACAGATCCCTTTAATTAATTATAAAAACGTTTGACAAGACTTGTGTTCCACTATAGCAGGGGTTCTCAACCTTGGCAACTTTAAGACTTGTGGACTTCAACTCCCAGAATTCCTCAGCCAGCAAAGCTGGCTGAGGAATTCTGGGAGTTGAAGTCCACAAGTCTTAAAGTTGCCAAGGTTGAGAACCCCTGCACTATAGATTCAATGGCTGGGTTTGCACATCACACTTGTCCATAGTCCCTTTAACCACCGATCATTTAATTGACCCAATTTGTCAGTTCCCACAATCCACTACAGCATAAGTTAACCACACAGATTTAGTACACATCAAACGCTAAAGCGTGGTTGGCTGGTCTGTAGTACGGTGTGATGTGCGACCAAGAGGAGCTAAATATATAGCACCAGCCCCTATCGGCCAGACTACTACGGAATTCGGGAACCTTTTGCGTTTCGG